CTTTCGTGTAGTGTCTAACGCAAGATTTCACCAGTTATTGCGTGAAACAAAAAGACCAAATTAGCTTTGGTACATGTGATATGGCAGTTATCGAAACTTATATTATTGCCAATTTTCGTACTGTTGATTTGTTGTGCTCTACCACTTCCATAAGTTAATTTTGACAATTGCAAATTAGAGTGTAAGATATACAAATGCTCAAAAAATGATGTGGCTCGAAAATTTTTGTTTGAATTATTAAGTAAATCAAAAGATTCAATCTCTGATAAACTTGTATTTATGCTTAGAAACACATCTCATTCAAGAACAACATACTTGTCATGTCCATCGAGCACTGTTCCTCCAATAAAATTTTCAGGGCTATTTGGGTCCACATAATAAGTTTTTCCTCTTACTTCTAAGCTGCAAAAGAAAAAAAATATACATTACTTATATTTACAAAGATTTCGATCCATGTTTAACCAAACCCCAGCCATTTAATTTAAGTAACTTACCAAATATTCTCGTGGTTCAATAACTTTCGAATTTTACGCAAGAATTTAGAAGCTTGCGGCAAAAGATTATATCTGTTTGCAGCTTAATCAATTCGAAGCAAACCTCTTCCATCGATCCAGATATCTGTGTGGGTTTCCGAATAAATCAGGTCAAACTTAATCAGATAATCATGTTCCATTGATCTTTCAGTTATTTGCTCAAAATATGAGCTAAAAACACTGACGATTATCATTTCATCAGAATCACCAGCGAGTAATAGTATATTATACTGTCGCGCGGTCCTGTCATACATATATCGGCCATCTGGACACCTGTCAATTTGTAGACTTTGACTCCTCTCAATAGCTTTTATTTCTGAATCTCTCAGATAACTCCATCTGACTAATTTCAACAAATCACCAAGATTAACCTTTCTTGCATCATCAAAATTGACCCACTTTAAAATGGCATTGACAACTTGTTTTTCCGAACAAATTACAAGGTCTAACTGGCAAATATTTAAAATCGTTCCGAGAGGAAAACTACACCAAATAGGATGCCTTGCGATCCTGAGGAAATACAGGCAAATGAATCTTTTGACGTCATGGTAAATGCTTGTTTCATGAGCCAGGAAAACGGACAGTTTATTTATGTTGAAAAGTGAAGTGCGGATAGTCCTGTTATTGAAAATTAAATCCCACCATCTCGAACATACTGTGCAAGAGATAGTGATTAATTGAGATTTATTCATGACTGTAAGCAAAAACAAGCAAAACAAAACTGCAGTACAAAAAATTATATAAAATCAGTTTTGGCTGAGGTTTGGTAAAACGTTCGTACAGCTCGAAAATCTGTTAAAATGAGATGCACTCGGTATATTTTTCATGCAATACAATTAATTACAGCGATTAATAATAATTTCGCCCTTTTTTGGTTTGAGTAAGGCAGTTGGCACTATCTTTCCTTCTTTTGGTTCGCGGTTTCGCCTTTCAACACAAGCTGGTTTTATTTTTTTTCCGGAAACTTCCCGTTCATTCATGTGGCGGACTATAGTCTGCCTATCGCCTGGCCGGGATGGTTGCCCACAATAAGGACAAGCGAAGACAACTGCTCCTCTTTTAGCAATATTGTTTTCAATTCTTTTCCGCGTGGAACATTCGCTTGCTGGAACAACGGATATTTATTGTTTAGAATTAAATGTTCAGCTGCTTCATAATATTCATCATAATCTAAATGTGCATAATAAGTTTTGTTGATTACTGCCATGTGGTCACAGGTAACTGGAAAAAACGCTTTGAGCTCTCCAGTACATATCGTGACTGTTTTTTCCTGGATCAAAGTAAAGAAGTAAATTAGTAAAGAAATAGCAGATATTAGATATGAGAAAAACTTACGTTGGATGGTTGTTCAGGAATTGGTTGTAACAGGTTATTATCAGGAACTGTAGGATCTGTGGTAAGACCTGAACCGCGTGTCTCTGAACTTCTTGTCGCTGAAACTTCTGCCTCTAAGCCTTCTGTCACTGAACCTTCTGTAGTTGAAATTACTGGCGGCGCTTTCTGTAAATTCTGAAATTTCTTGGGATTCTGTAATTTCTTGGGATTCTGAAATTTCTTGGAGCTTCTACTATTGCCAGGTTAGCGAGATCCGGAACCACATGGGAACTTGGCGAATACAGCCCAGTTGCGTGCCTCGCTTGATAGGCTTTCGGTGAACTAGGTGGCGAGATTCGAACAGCCTGCAGGGATAAAAAATATTATCGTAAGGCAAAAACTAAATACAAAAACATCGTTACTCACCGTTTTTTTAACAACAATGTTATTATTGCCATCAAAGACTTTTTCAATTGTTGTTGTAACATTTGCATTTTGCTTTCGAGTTGTTACACCCATGATAAACAAGTTAAAGAAATTTGATTTATATCACACTATTAAATTGTAATTGAAATTCAAATATACCGCGTGTTCATTGGCCTACCACACAACTTTTTTTGCGAATAACTTTTGAATGCGTTCATGGATCGATTTGAAATTTTGTATTTATTTTTTAATCAAAAAAGGAAATTAGTTGAGAATATTTTCAAAGTGAGATCCTTCTGTGGTTATGACATAGCGAATTCGCTTACAAAAATGTTGGATAACTTTAGGGAAAATTTCCGTTGGAATACTTTCTATGGTAGTTTTTATAGCTGATTTCAACTCAGATAATGATTTTGGGCGGTTCCTATAAATGTTATCCTTGACATATCCCCATAGATAAAAATCCAACGGAGACAAGTCGGGACTAGAAGGAGGCCATTCGTAACCATCACCAAATCTTGACCTGAAGTTCCTAGCTATGACACGATCATCGAAGTTCTCTCGGAGTAGATCCAGTATCATGTTAGTTGAGTGTGGCGGAGCTCCGTCTTGCTGGAACCAATGACAAAAACCCCAGTCTTTATCTCGCAGCTCAGGTAAAATCTCTTCTTCCAATAAAGCTTTATAGCGCTCAGTTTATCGTTTGCTCAAGAAAAAAAGGGCCAACAATTCCAGACGCTGTTAAACCACACCAAACAGTAATTTTCTGAGGGTGAAGGGGCTTTGATACCACCAATTCTGGTTTTTGGCTTCCCCAAATGCGATAGTTTTGGCGGTTTACAAAACCATTGAGCCAAAAATGCGCCTCATCCGAAAAAATTATCTTAGAAGGATCCATAGGTGAATCAGGCGTGTCAAGAACTTCGCAAATTTCATTGGCAAAAGCAACTCTTTTCTCGCAAGACTCTTGTTCCAATGGCTGTCCAACTTGCATTTTATAGGGAAAAATGTTCAAATCTTTTCGGTTGATTCGCCAAGCTGTGCCTACACTAACATCGACTTGTTGAGCGAGTTGTCGTACTGAGGTTGACGGTTCAGCATCCATGATGGCTCTAGCCTGTTCAATTTTCTCTGGAGTCCTTTGAGTAACTTTAGCTGAAGCCATTCCTTTAGTATCGTCTTGAACACTGCCAGTTGCTTCCCATTTTCTTATTAAGGCCATTACGGTAGCAGCTTGTGGTTTTGGCTTGTTTTTATAAGCACTAGACCATTTTCTGAGTAGCTCAGATGGACTTTTACCAACTGCATAGTAATTCGAAACTAGAAAAACTCTTTCCTCAATTGAGTAGCGAGGCATAATATCAAAAATAGCAAAAAACACTTTTAAATAGCAAAAAAGACGTTGAGTTAGTGAAAAATGAAGGAAACGGAAATTCTTTTTCAACGACTTTTTTCAAATTCCTTTTTGCTATTATGCTGCCCAGTGTTGGAATTTTTCAAATTGAGCGCGTAATTCTAAAGTTATTCAAAAAAAAAGTTGTGTGGTAGGCGAATGAACATGGTGTATAACAGTTAAAATAAGATGAAAAAAGCATTTGGAAAACCTGTTGATGCCTTTTACAACCTTAGTAGTACCCTAGTAGAAAATCTGAGCGTTTATAATTAACGGTTGCTCATTTTCTGATTAAGTAACAATTAACTTGAACTTAAGTTCATTAGTAAAGTTGGTTTACGCTCCTCCTTCGCTATTCTCACAGAATTTTCTTGATGATGCAATGTGGACGAAAAATTCCTGTAACTTTCTGTAACCTGTCTGTTTTTCTTTTACCATGGATAATCAGCCCAATAATCAGCCCAAGTATGCAAGACGAACTCGGTAGTCACAAAGTGAACTGCAGTAAAACCTCTCAAAGGTTGTGAGCGGTCCAGCTATTTAGAGGAATCCCATCGCACTAAGTATTCATTTTTTAAAAACTTACTCTTAAGCCCGGTTAAACGTCAAATCCGCTAGATGTGTGAGTTCCATTTCTCACAACCTTTGAGAGGTTTTACTGTAAATGGTAATTTTTTAAGTCAACTTGATGAAAACTTAATTAAAGTGAACACATGACACTAGAAGAATATAAACTTACCTTAGTTACTCGTTGTAAGGTACTAAATGGTAAAAGTCCCATCCAAAATTTTGGAACGGCTTAACTTTGAAATTTTATATCTTTCCGTGGTCTAAATGATAATGTATAGTCGAATGATTAACTTTTAGCTGGACTTTCCCGAGTATACAGACAAATTGGTAGCATCGATAGCCAGTCGATTCTTACAGACTTTGAAAAGTTAAACTAGGGTTATTTTGGTAGAAGACAAAATCTTATTTGATTCATAAATCTGACTGTTAAGTCCATGTACAATGCATAGTAGTGATTCACTGCTAGTGATAATGCTTTAAGGTAAAAATTGCAATTTTCACTGACAACTTGTGAGATAACTTTACAAAGAGTTGATTCCTTCAGACTCTTGCTCCAAATGTATGTTATTGAATAAAGCATTGAATATGGAATTCAGATTGAAATATCGAAAAAAATCAAGGTGTAAAAGGTGACGCGAGTTGAAATTCAAGATTATATTTACTTTGCAGTTACAGTAAAACCTCGCAGAGGTTGTATGGAATAGAGCAACGCCATCTCTGAGATTTAAGCTTTTTCCCCGCTTTTACAATGTAATTATGTTAATCATGCCGAAGAGTTGCACAAACAATATCGCTAGGCGGCAGGACCGCTCAC